GAAATTTGTGTTTTGGGATTTGTTGGGTGCTCGCATGTGGAATTTTGGAAAATTTTAGTTGTGGATTGTGGGGAACTGACGCCCATTTCATGTAGGTTGCTTTTGTTTGTGTGTTTTTGGTGAAATAATGATGAGGAGGGTTGGATAGTTGGACTGGTTTTATTTTTTTTGTGAAATTAGAGTGGGATCAATCAAGGTTGAGACATGCCCCATAAGGGTCAATAGGTCTCAGTTGCATATCTAACTTGTTTCTCATGTGTTTTCATCCTGAAGGTTAGAAAAGATGGGTGCTCTAGACGCGCAGAAAGTGGTTCATCAACACTAGGGATGGCGGCTGATCTCATGTATGTGGTTACATGCTGGAGTTTTCCATGTGCTTGCCAATATGCTGAGTCTTGTATTCATTGGAATTCGGCTTGAGCAAGAATTTGGATTTGGTATGCATCTGGATTTTAGTTCATGTATGTTATCATGCATGTATGGCCACATCCATAAGTGTTTGTAGTAAAAGATAAAGCACACGACATAAGTTGTAGAATAATAAATTAGTTACCAAGTGCAAAACTTCTTTCATAAATCTAGAAGAGAAACACTTTCCGGATGGCTTTAGCTACCTTGTGATTAATCTACAGAGGATTTCTATGCATTTGTTTATTGAATTGTAATCCTAGAGTAGTGGTCATGTAGTGCGGGTTGCATTATAACTTACACCAGTATGTTGTTTGGTTTGATGGAAACAAGAGGATGTTTTATTTAGCGGTGAGCAAAGAAAAGAGTTTATAGACCGAAGATGGGGTTCAAACTTTAGTTTTAGACATAGTATTCCATTTTACAGAATAAAATTGCTTGAAACAAAAGCTGAGAGATTATTTCAGTTTTCTATCACATCTGTGGGAACAAAGATTGTTTTGGATATTCTGCAGTTCGAATTGGTTTCTATATCTCATGTCTGGTTTTGGTGGGAGTTTTCTTTCAACTCTTTTTATTCAGTATGGTATTTCTGTTGGTGCTTCTGGTGCACTTTTTGGACAATGTATGTAAATAAGGTAAATAAAATTCTGTATACTTAATGATGCACCTCTTTATAGTATGTGCCCGACCCTTTGATCTTACAGTTTCAGATTTTGATCCACAGTTAGCAACATTGCTTACTCTCCTTTTCATCATCATAATAAACTTAGCAGTGGGAATTCTACCACACGTGGACAACTTTGCTCGTATTGGAGAATTTTTCTTTGGATTTCTTCTTGGATTTTTGTTTTTGATCCATCCCCAGTTTAAATGGCTTACCCAACGGAATGCTCCCCCTGGACGTGTTACTACTCCAGTTAAATCTAAACACAAGACGTATCAATATGAGTATTGTGGGTCCTCTCTTTGATACTATTGATTGTTGGGTAAGCTCCTCCTCGATCTCTGATTTAACTATTTGACTTCATGAACCTAATCGACTCCCTGCATGAGAATCTGGTAGCCACAGTTGACGTGTGCACATTTTTTTTTATCAAATCAGAGAACTGGATTTTGTGTAGATATGTAGATATCATGTGTCCTGTAATATTTTCATTGCGAATAGGCTCTGTATCTGCTTGTTTCTCATCATAATGGTTTGGAGAAGGCATTGTGTTATCGCTATTCTCTGTGTAATACTAATTTATCACTTTGTTGATAGCGGCTTCTACTTTGCTATTTTGGATTGCATGTGTTGGCAATACTGTAGACATCGAAATTTCGGTAAATAAATGTTGACCGATAAATCAAAGTGTCAACGCTCATGTATTACATAAATTTTACACGTAGCGTGTGACTCAACGAAAATTGAAATGAGTTGGAAAAGTCATCAAAAACAGGACACGTGTCAACACCTGGCAGAAACAACTTATTTCATCTGGAATATTATATTCAAAATTAGGCTATAGAAATTTCTATAAATAGAAGGCCAATTCATTCATTTAAAGGGACCAATTCAAATTACACCTTGAAGCTCTGAAGCTCTGAAGCTCTGAAACTCCGAAGCTCTCAAGCAAATCCCGAAGGATCAAGAAAGCCCTTTTCGTTCTTCATCAAATCCTCCTTCAAGATCAAGCCCCGACGGCCCTTGAAGAAAGTGTTCTTCGTTCATCGTTCTTCCAAGATCAAGCCCCGACGGCCCTTGGATCAACAATCCACCAATTCAAGATCACGCCCTAAAGGCCCTTGAAGAACTTCCACCAATTCAAGATCAAGCCCCGACGGCCCTTGAAGAAGGCACCATCATTCATCATCTGTTCATCCGAGATCAAGCCCCAACGGCCATTTGGACCAACAACGTCGACAAATCCACACATTCCAACCGTTCTTCAAGATTAAGCCCAAAAGTCCTTGAAGAGCCGTTCATCACTGTTCTTCAAGAATAAGCCCAAAAGCCCTTGAAGATCCGTTCATCACTGTTCTTCAAGATCAAGCCCAAAAGCCCTTGGAGATCCGTTCGTCACTGTTCTTCAAAGATCAAGCCCAAAAGCCCCTTTGAAGATCCGCTCAAATCCACCTTCAAGATCAAGTCCACGGCCCCTTGAAGAAACTTCCAACAGTTCATCCAAGATCAAGCTTTGACGGCCCTTAGATCAACGAAACATCCACAAATACACACCTTACGAAGATCGAATCAGAGGATCAAAATTTAAGAGAGATTGTAACCCAAAACCATCAAAAATACAAATATTTGTTTGTGCACGTTGTTCTTATCTCTTTCGTTTCAGGAATTTTCCGTGTTCACAAATACTTTGTTGTTTTGTTATTGGAAATAAAGGTTCATTTTCCTTGTATTGTGTAGTATCAATATATGCAGGCATTTTCTGAAAGAAGTCATGTTTTTTACAAGTATACTCTTGGCTTGGTTACTCTTTTTCGAGGGGTCAATCTAAACAACCATTGTTCCTGGTGTCATTATTTGAGTTGTGTCCCTACATCAAAATGGAATTGCAAGTCAAAATATTTATTGTCTGATAATATGTTGTACTTTTCTGCGCATATTAGCTTCTACCTTAATATTTGATAGACAGAAGTGCTTGCTTATTAAAATGATCATGGTTGCATTCAGTCGTTCTAGTTTGGCATGCCGTTTAGTCTAATGCCTTAAAGAAAAGTAATTTAAGAAATGACTCGCGAAATTCTGTGTCAGGAAATTGTTTTTGCAACGTACTTTGTTAGTACTATAAATTGGTTTTGTACTGACATATTGTTCTTTATATGCATATATGCACCAATCTTGCAGTCGAGCCAGATAGGGAATCAGCTGAACTTAACGTGCGTAAGCAATGGTAGAAATGGGACATATTCATTGTCGGATCCCAGCCCCTCCCGGACTCAGCAGCTATATGCTGCTCTTTGTAGTTGACCATACATGTACAGATTTCAGAGTTGATAGAATGTTGATTGATATGCTTCATTCTTGTAGTAAGTATTCTTTCTCTTTCTTTTGTTTTTTGTTGGGTAAAATAGTCATTTGTATTCACCAAGCAATGGTTCTCATTGTCATTATTCTTTTCATTCTTTTACTGCCCTTGTACCTCTTTTCTACTATTCATAACAGTTGAAACCCATACCGATAATTATGAAATTTACTTGCCATGTAAAACTACTCAAACATGCAATTTACCCATACCTAAGTTTGTTGAATGTGGGATGTTATGGATCCTCTCAATCGGACCTTTGTTCTGTACCTTCTCGTCTCTCTCTCATTCTGCAATGTTGCAAGATGATCGGACATATGTATACTTTGTAGTTCATCCTCTAGAGACCAGCTTTGAAAAAAAAATCAACTAAATAAAAAATCATTTAACCATTTAATTAACATTGTCAAAATTTCAGTATTTAATTGAAAAACATAGTTCATTTATTTATTGGATAACAATTAGATGACAAAACAAGTATGAATTACTTTGGTTTTTGGCGAAGTTGGACTTTAAAGTGAGGCATTAATAACTGGATATGTCTACAGTGGTGGAATTCTCTTGCTAGAGACTTGAGCCCCCATGAAGAATAAAAATTAAGAAAGCTTGATCTCACTAGTAACTGATACAATTTTTAGAAAGGTTGCATCCACAACAGGCTTTCTTGCAATGGTACTTTAGGGGAACTATGAGAAAATCAGCAATCTCACAATCCAGCCCCTCAAAAAACATAGAGACTTCAAAATTTCCTTTCATAGCCAGGGTCGCCTAGCAAGGTTACTTTCATATTAAATGACACCAGCGTGACGTTTGATGTGACCAAAATATAGGATTCCTTGTATTTGTTTTTTCATTTTGAATGGTTGCCAAATGTTTCGAGTCAGCTTCTGGAATCAAGGTGCATTAATGGTCTTTGTCCTCGGCGTACCGAAAGTGCCGGACAATAGGTGGTTGCCAAATGTTTCCAGTCAGCTTCTGGAATCAAGGTGCTTTAATGGTCTTCGTCCTTGGCGTACCGAAAGTGCCAGACAATAGGTGGTTGCCAAATGTTTCCAGTTAGCTTTTGGAATCAAGGTGCTTTAATGGTCTTGCTCCTTGGCGTTCACCGAAAGTGCCAAACAACAGTTCCCAGTAGTGGAAGTAAGCTAGTGAAGTCGTCTAAAAAAACAAGCCAAAGTTGTTGTCATTTACTTGGACTTCTTCCTTTTCATATTTGAATTTCAAGAACCAGAAATTGTGGTGTAAGTTCCTCCTATGATCCTATCCTTCTATAAATTTCCTTGTCAAGCAACAATGGAACTCACCAAATTCACAACTCAACAGCCATCTCTCTATTTCTTTCTGCTTCTCTTTCTAATTATATAGTTAACCAGATCAGGAATGGGGGTTTTGGTTTTGAAATTGATCTTAATATACTAGCTTATCAGTGCAGTGTTCGTTTGCTGTTGGAGCTCCCTGCAATCGGGACTCGGAAGGAATGCGACGGATAGGTTGGCGCTGCTAGCCATCAAAGCTCAAATAAAGCAAGATCTCCATAATTACAATGTGATGAGCTCCTGGAACGAATCCATGCACTTTTGCATGTGGCATGGTGTGACGTGCAGTCGACGACATCGCCAAAGGGTCACTAACCTGGACCTGCAATCTCAAAATCTGGTAGGAAAACTATCCCCAAACATTGGAAATCTAAGCTTGCTAAGGGAGCTGTGGCTGCAAAACAACAGCTTCAGTCATGAAATTCCTCCACAAATTGGGAATTTGCGTAGATTGCAGGTATTACGATTAGACATGAACTCATTTAGTGGCAGTATTCCACACAATATATCATATTGCTTCAACCTTATCTTTATGAATTTCACTTACAACAAGTTGGTGGGTAAAATTCCTTCAAAAATTGGATTGTTGTCGAAGCTGCAACATTTTGCATTAGAATATAATAATGTAACGGGACAGGTCCCTCCTTCCTTAGGGAACCTTTCGTCTCTCCGGGGACTAAGTCTTCTTAGTAATAACTTGATGGGAAACATCCCCAGTTCTCTCGGCCAATTGAAAAAATTAACCTTCTTGGGATTGGGGTTCAATCAGTTGTCTGGTAGCATTCCTTCCTCCATTTATAACCTCTCTTCTCTTGTTACATTTTCCATAGTAATCAACCAAATTGAAGGGAGTATTCCATCAGATATTGACAAAAGTTTTCCTAATCTCGAAAAATTCAACGTCGGCTCTAACCAACTTACTGGGTCCATTCCTCCCTCAATATTCAATGTCACAAGTGTTGGGAGATTTGACGTTGGGAGTAACAACCTAATCGGACAGGTACCGAGTCTCCAAAAGCTTCACAACCTCCTTTTTTTCAACATTCAATTTAATAATATTGGAAGCGGTAAAGATGGTGACTTAAGTTTTCTCTCGGACTTGACCAATGCCACCCAGTTACGAGTGCTGCTTATTGACAACAACAATTTTGGAGGGACATTGCCCATGTCAATATCCAATCTCTCAAACAAACTGGAAATGTTTTGGGTTGGCGATGACCAAATATATGGAAGTATCCCATCTGGGATAGGGAATCTGGTGAGCTTGGAATCGTTGCTTTTGGAGAATAGTAGCTTCACAGGTAACATCCCCTTTGACATGGGTAAGCTTTCAAACCTTGGAGAATTAGATATTTCCATGAACAAATTATCAGGAAATATTCCGTCTTCCTTAAGAAATTTAACCAAGTTATTCCATCTTGCGTTGCATAGAAATCATCTTGAGGGCAGATTCCTTGAAGCCTAGGGGAATGCCAGGGGTTGCAGTTGTTGAATCTTTCTTATAACCTTCTAAATGGCACAATACCCAAACAAGTTTTTAGACTCTCCTCCTTATCGATTTCTTTGGACTTGTCTAATAACCTCTTTACAGGTTCCCTTCCCCCGGAGGTTGGGAATTTACAAAGTCTAAGTGAACTGGACATTTCTGATAACATGTTATCTGGAGAACTCCCCAGTAGCCTTGGTGGTTGTGAAAGTTTAGAAGTCCTGCATTTGCAAGGAAACTTCTTCAACGGGTCCATTCCTTTGTCTATGAGTTCAGTGAGAGGGATTCAAGATCTAGATCTTTCTCGCAATAATTTTTCAGGTGAAATTCCACATTTTTTAGAAGGCTTTAGAATCCTAAATAATCTGAACTTATCATTCAATCAATTTTGGGGAGAGGTACCAACTGGAGGTGTTTTCAAAAATGCAAATGCTATTTCAGTTGTTGGCAACACTAATTTGTGCAGCCCTGTTGCTAATTTAAAGCTTCCCAAGTGCAAGTCTAAAGAGACCAACAAACGAAGATTGTCTCTTAGCTTGAAACTAATACTCCCTTTACTATTTGGACTTGCTCTTCTTGGAATAGCCATGGTGTTCTCCTATTTCTTTCTTTGTTCGTCAAGGAAGAAAAGGAAAGAAATTTCATTGAGCACTTTGGGGAACACTATTTTGCAAGTTTCATATGCTACTCTACTCAAAGCTACTAACGCGTTCTCAGAGGCTAATTTAATTGGTGTTGGTAGTTTTGGGTCTGTGTACAAGGGAGTTCTTGATGATGATGATAAAGCTCAACTAGTTGCCGTGAAGGTGTTTAACTTGTTACGCCTTGGAGCTTCGAGGAGTTTCATAGCTGAATGTGAAGCTTTGAAAAATATTAGGCATCGAAATCTCGTCAAGATTATAACTGTGTGTTCAAGTGTTGATTTTCATGGTAATGATTTCAAGGCTCTAGTTTATGAGTTCATGGACAACGGGAGCTTAGAGGAGTGGCTGCATCCACCTACTGGAACTGAAGAGTTAAGAGATCATGTACCCAAGAATTTAAGTCTTTTTCAGAGGCTAGAAATTGCCATTGGTGTTGCTTGCGCACTGGATTATCTTCATAATCATTGTGAAACACCGATAGTTCATTGTGATCTCAAGCCAAGCAATGTTCTCTTGGACAACGAATTGACCGGCCATGTTTCTGACTTTGGATTAGCAAGGTTTCTCTCACAAGTAACGAGTAATGTTTCAGCAATTCAGAGTCAAACAAGTTCCGTTGGAATAAGGGGAACAATTGGTTATGTAGCTCCAGGTATATATATGTTAGATATATACTTCATTATGTTTCCTTTTTTATTTTGGAGTATTTAATTTACAAAATTAAAAAATGTGATGTTTGAATTGCAGAGTATGGCATGGGGAGTGAGGTGTCAACGAATGGTGATGTTTACAGCTTTGGCATTCTCTTGTTGGAGATGTTTACAGGGAAAAGACCCACTGACAACATGTTTGGTGATAGCTTGGACCTTCATAATTTGTCAAGATGGCTCTCCCCATGCAAGTTACTGAGATTGCAGACGCACCACTTCTTCAAGGACGCACGAACGAGAATCTCAATCAATGCACTACAAGAATTCATAGAGTTGAGGTGTGCTTGAGTTCAATATTTAGAATTGGAATTGCTTGTTCTGCTGAATCCGCAACAGATCGACTAAAGAATATCAATGATGCTGCATCTAAACTTCATTCCATTAGGAATACTTTTCTTGGATAGAAACTATTTCTTATGTGCTTTTGTGATTGAGAAATTTCGTGTACTGCCTGTGAAGTCTAGCTTTTATGTTACCACAGTAGATGTGAAAGTTTGCAACGTAAATAATCACCAATGAGGTTCATTGTGTGAAGAGTGTTTTACTACTTCTTGTACTTGGTATTTTTGTGTAATATTCACATCTATTAAAGTCTAGTACGTGCCACGAAATTCTTGAATATACACATTGACAGATTCCAAATTTTCGAAAGATTCATCACCTCAAGATCCTCAACTTATATTCAACAAAATCATCTTGGAAGCGGTAAAGATGGTGATTTGAGTTTCCTATCAGACATGACCACTATCAATGTAAGGTGCTTTCGAAAATCAAAGTGCTATTTCAATTGTTAACAACACTAGATTCTGCAAGGGAATTTCTAATCTCAAGCTGCCTAATTGCTGCTAGAGTTTGAATAGAAAATGTGGGGTATTGTTGGAACTTTTGTGAATATGTGGGATTGGGAGTCCCGCATCGCCCATTTCCCATCTTAAAGTTATCTTTATAAGTGTGTCCTCACACTTATGGTTTGAAAACAATTGGGCCTAGGCCATGGACCTTGGGCCTTAGGCTTGGAAGGTTTAGGTGTATATTAAATGTCAAAGATGGGCCTTGGGCCATGGTGCTCGGATGGACGAAAACACAAGTTACGTTTTTTATTTTTGGGATTTAGTTTTTTTTCTGAAAGGATAAAACTGATTGAACAGTTATGTCAGTTTTATAACTGATAAGAATGAACAGTTATGTCTGTTCAATTTATGCCATTATATATATGGCAATAAGATCAGAAACTTAACATAGAATTTCCAACGCTTCCTTTTCATCTTACACAGAGAAACGCACAACCAATTCGCCAAGAATCCAAGTTCGAGTGCAAGAACTTGGATTAGATAGTTGTATCCTGCAAGATAGATGTCCGTTGAACTATTGCATGGGTGTAGGGGTGAATTTCTGTCTTAGGTGATTGCATTTGCAAGCCTTTATCTTCAAGAACAAGTCAATGATTTGTGATTTTATATGCAATTTACTTAAGTGTTTGTATTTTGATATTTATAGTATTTGTTGTTGAATTTAGCATTCGAAATAAACTGTGCAAAATATATATTGTGTCAGTGACATTTGATTGGTTTCCAACATTCTAAGACAGAAATTTTCATTATGAAACCATGGATCAATCAAATGTTGGTGTCGTCAAGCAACACGTTGAGAAACCTGAGAAATTCAAGGTTGTTGATTTCAAACGTTGACAACATAAAATGTTGTTCTATTTGACAACTCTGAACTTGCGTCATGTGATTACTTCTGAGGCCCCTTGGAGAATTAGATATTTCCATGAACAAATTATCAGGAAATATTCCGTCTTCCTTAAGAAATTTAACCAAGTTATTCCATCTTGCGTTGCATAGAAATCATCTTGAGGGCAGCATTCCTTCAAGCCTAGGGGAATGCCAGGGGTTGCAGTTGTTGAATCTTTCTTATAACCTTCTAAATGGAACAATACCCAAACAAGTTTTTAGACTCTCCTCCTTATCGATTTCTTTGGACTTGTCTAATAACCTCTTCACAGGTTCCCTTCCCCCGGAGGTTGGGAATTTACAAAGTCTAAGTGAACTGGACATTTCTGATAACATGTTATCTGGAGAACTCCCCAGTAGCCTTGGTGGTTGTGAGAGTTTAGAAGTCCTGCACTTGCAAGGAAACTTCTTCAACGGGTCCATTCCTTTGTCTATGAGTTCAGTGAGAGGGATTCAAGATCTAGATCTTTCTCGCAATAATTTTTCAGGTGAAATTCCACATTTTTTAGAAGGCTTTAGAATCCTAAATAATCTGAACTTATCATTCAATCAATTTTGGGGAGAGGTACCAACTGGAGGTGTTTTCAAAAATGCGAATGCTATTTCAGTTGTTGGCAACACTAATCTGTGCAGCCCTGTTGCTAATTTAAAGCTTCCCAAATGCAAATCTAAAGAGACCAAGAAACGAAAATTGTCTCGTAGCTTGAAACTAATACTCCCTTTAGTATTTGGACTTACTCTTCTAGGAATAGCCATGGTGTTCTCCTATTTCTTTCTTTGTTCGCCAATGAAGAAAAGGAAAGAAATTTCGTTGAGCACTTTGGGGAACAATATTCTGCAAGTGTCATATGCTACTCTACTCAAAGCTACTGACAGGTTCTCAGAGGCTAATTTAATTGGTGCTGGTAGTTTTGGGTATGTGTACAAAGGAGTTCTTGATGAGGATGATAAAGCTCAACTTGTTGCCGTGAAGGTGTTTAACTTGTTACGCCGTGGAGCTTCGAAGAGTTTCATAGCCGAATGTGAAGCTTTGAGAAATATTAGGCACCGAAATCTCGTCAAGATTATAACCGTGTGTTCAAGTGTTGATTTTCATGGTAATGATTTCAAGGCTCTAGTTTTTGAGTACATGGACAACGGGAGCTTAGAGGAGTGGCTGCATCCACCTACTGGAACTGAAGACTTAAGAGATCATGTACCCAAGAAGTTCAGTCTTCTTCAGAGGCTAGAAATTTCCATTGGTGTTGCTTGTGCACTAGATTATCTTCATAATCATTGTGAAACGCCAATAGGTCATTGTGATCTCAAGCCAAGAAACGTTCTCTTGGACAACGAATTGATTGGCCATGTTTCTGACTTTAGATTAACAAGGTTTCTTTCACAAGTAAAGAGTAATGTTTCAACAATTCAAAGTCAGACAAGTTCCGTTGGAATAAGAGGAACGGTTGGTTATGTAGCTCCAGGTATATATATGTTAGATATACACTTCATTAGATTTCCTTTTTTATTTTTGAGTATTTAATTTACAAAATTCAAACTGAACTATTTATACACAAATGTGATGTTTGAATTGTAGAGTATGGCATGGGAAGTGAGGTGTCAACGAATGGTGATGTCTACAGCTTTGGCATTCTCTTGTTGGAGATGTTTACAAGGAAAAGACCCACTGACAACATGTTTGATGATAGCTTGAACCTTCATAATTTTGTCAAGATGGCTATCCCTTAGCGAGTTAGTAAGATTGCAGATGCACCACTTCTTCAAGGATGCACGAACGAGAATCCCAATCAATGTAGTGCGAGAATTCATAAAGTTGAGGTGTGCTTGAGTTCAATATTTAGAATTGGAATTGCTTGTTCTGCTGAATCCACAACAGATCGACTAAAGAATATCAATGATGCTGCATCTGAACTTCATTCCATTAGGAATACTTTTCTTGGATAGAAACTTTTTTTTATGTGCGTTTGTGATAGAGAAATTTCATGTACTGCCTGTGAAGTCTAGCTTTTATGTTACCACAGTAGATGTGGAAGTTTGCAATGTAAATAATCACCAATGAGGTTCATTGTGTGAAGAGTGTATTACTACTTCTTGTACTTGGTATTTTTGTGTAATATTCACATTGATGAAAGTCTAGTTCGTGCCACGAAATTGTTGAATATTCACATTGACAGATTCCAAATTTTTTAAAGATTCATAATCTCAAGACCCTCAAGATTCAATAAAATCATCTTGGAAGCTGTAAAGATGGTGATTTGAGTTTCCTATTAGACTTGACCACTATCAGTGTAAGGTGTTTTCGAAAATCAAAGTGCTATTTCAATTGTTGACAACACTAGATTCTGCAAGGGAATTCCTAATCTCAAGCTGCCCAGCTGCAATCTAAAGAGCTCCAAGAATAGAAGATTAGCTTATAGCTTGAAATTAATAATCCCTTTTGTATTCATACTTGCTCTACTTTGCAAGTGTCATAGGCTACTTTCTCAAACGCCACTGATTGGTTTTCTTCAGCTAATTTGACAGTTTTGAGTTTGTATACTGACAATAGAGCTCGGCTTGTACTTGTAGATATGAAGGTGTTTAACAATATCAAGCATCAAAGAGTTTCATAGCCGAATGTGAGGCTTTGAGAAATATCAAGCATCAAAATCTCGTCAAGGTCATATCTGCATGTTTTCTCGATGATTATTTCTAGGCTCTAGTTTATGAGTTGATGCACCAAAGGAGCTTAGAGGAGTGGTTGCATCGCCTCCTGTAATTGAAGAGGTAAGAGATCAATACATCCAACAATTTAAAATCTTCTTCAAGGGCTAGATATTGTTATTGGTGTTGCCATTATGCACTGGATTATTTTCATAACCAGAGTGAAACACGGATAGTTCATTGTGATCTAAAGCCAAGCAATGTTCTTCAAAACACCAAGTTGACTGGACATGTTTATTGAAAGTAGACTAATCTCATACTGTTAATTATATGAACTCCTCCATAGAGGTGAAGGTAATTGGGTTCAAGTTGGTTGGTATGGTTAATAGGGTTTGCAAATGACCATTTTTTAAAGAATTTTAACCCCGACTTTAAAGCCCATGGGCTATGACAAATCAAGGTTTTCTAGCATTGTTGCTATCAATATTCTCTCATGTGCATTCTGAATTCCAATCCAATGGTTTTAGCAATCTTTCGACTAATCTTGACAATGAAAGAGTTTTTTTTTTTTTTGTTCGAACAAATGATATTATCTATACTAAGAGGAAGGGGATAGGTTTAGCTTCATAATGGACTAACAATAATGTGGTTCAAATTCGTCTTTGGCAAGAATCCAACTCAAGACTTCTCACTTACAAGTGAAAAGAATAGTACTAAGTGACATGAAAGGGTTTCTATTAAACCCACAAAAATGAAAACTCTCAGCAGTTTATTAATGGATTTGAATTTAGATTTATTACAATTGATAAGAGATTTTTTTTTTCAGCAATCAATAGGATACTAACAAATTTGTTTTTAGTACAAAGATATGTCACGATAATGTGACTTATAGCTATGTCATTGGCCTTTTAACTTATTGTCCTATCTTTGACGCACTCCAATTAATGTCGTCCTCTAATTGTTAGTATTTAATGAATCTCATCCTAAATTGTTACCCAAAATATTAATTATCAAAGCAAATAAACTTGATTGAGTTATAAATTTATCATGATCCAGTTGGCATGGTTCGGAGAAAAATCAATTTTGTTCATAATTTTCATGTCTTCCTAGTGAACATGGGGCTATAAGTGAAGTTCCAAAGGATACGGTGGTGTAATTTGCCCCATGAATTGTCTCCTCCAATTTGCATGCATACGGTAGGTGACTGACTCCCAAATAATTCTCGTTACCAAGCAAATTAAATATCATTAATTAAGAGCTTAAAACTCTTTAATTATTACCTCTCTATTTTGCTTTTGCAATTAGGATATTTTCCCCTTTTGCGTAAAATATTATAAGAATATTTTTGTTCTCCACACTCAAATGATGGTGATACTCACTACTTTATTTATCACCGTTATGAGTTTAATACCCTGGATAAACACAAATCTCAAAATTTAAACCCATACAACGGTAATAAATAAGGTTATAAGCATTACCACCACTTGAGGGTGATGACTAAAAATCACCCCAATAATATAAGAGGTAGTTAAGTTAGTTGGTGTGGTAGTTGGTCTTTAGCAAGCTTCTTATAGAAAAGAAGAATCTGGGTACTTTGGCCGTTTTGCAAAAGAAAAAGAAAGAAAGGGGCATTTGATGTTGCAACAGGCATAGTGATGGTGCTAGCCGCCTGCTTCTTGGTGTTTTTTTTAAAAGAAAATATAAAAAAATAAGAAAAGGCTAATTTGCACCCTTCGGATATTATGATGCCAATTTGCTTGGTTGAGAAACTTGTGGCTTTTCTAATGGAGATTACGTAAAGGTGCAAACAATTTGTTAATGGTTGTGCAAAATAGGTTTCATCCTAGAAAATATGTTCGCGCTCCGCTGCGGGTTTTGAAATCATAACCCACAATTTAACATGCCCATTTTTAAATTATTCAGAAATCAATCAGAGAAAACTTCAAGTAGAAGAAAAATGAGTTCTCAATCAGAGGAAACTTCAATTTCATGCAAGTTTTTTTGTTCTAATTTCAGGGCTTAACAATGCAAGATTGGAATTTGCCTTTGGTTCAAAGAAGTAAGATAAACTGATAAGCAACAACAACAACAACAACAAAGCCTTTTCCCACTAAGTGGGGTCGGCTATATGAATCTTAGAACGCCATTGCGCTCGGTTTTGTGTCATGTCCTCCGTTAGATCCAAGTACTCTAAGTCTTTTCTTAGAGTCTCTTCCAAAGTTTTCTTAGGTCTTCCTCTACCCCTTCGGCCCTGAACCTCTGTCCCGTAGTCACATCTTCGAACCGGAGCGTCATTCGGCCTTCTTTGCACATGTCCAAATCACCGGAGCCGATTTTCTCTCATCTTTCCTACAATTTCGGCTACTCCTACTTTACCTCGGATATCCTCATTCCCAATCTTATCCTTTCTCGTGTGCCCACACATCCCACGAAGCATCCTCATCTCCGCTACACCCATTTTGTGTACGTGTTGATGCTTCACCGCCCAACATTCTGTGCCATACAACATCGCTGGCCTTATTGCCGTCCTATAAAATTTTCCCTTGAGCTTCAGTGGCCTACGACGGTCACACAACACGTCGGATGCATTCTTACACTTCATGCATCCAGCTCGTATTCTATGGTTGAGATCTCCATCTAATTCTCCGTTCTCTTGCAAGATAGATCCTAGGTAGCGAAAACGGTCGCTTTTTGTGATCTTCGCTAGATTGCTCCGGTCATTAGTGTGGATAAGTATATAAATGGATAGAGATAGGAAAGCAAACACAAGATGTACGTGGTTCACCCAGATTGGCTACGTCCACGGAATAGAAGAGTTCTCATTAATTGTGAAGGGTTTACACAAGTACATAGGTTCAAGCTCTCCTTTAGTGAGTACAAGTGAATGATTTAGTACAAATGACATTAGGAAATATTGTGGGAGAATGATCTCGTAATCACGAAACTTCTAAGTATCGGAGTGTGGTGTCGTCTTCTTGACTTGCCTTATCTGTCTCATAGGTAGATGTGGCATCTTCTCTGGAAGTACTCTTCCTCCATCCAGGGGTGGTATCTTTAACTGGTGGAGATGCACAAGGTAATGTATCAATTTCACTTGAAGCTTACTTGTAGTTTCAGGCTTGGTCAAGCGCGATACAAACCATGTAGTAGGAGTCCCCCAAGTCGCCGAGCTAGGGGGTCTGCTGAAAGAGGTGACAGACAAGGTAAGCAATCAGAGCTCCGACTGATTGTTCACCTTCTCCCCATCTTGCAGCAGCATGAAGGATAAAGAGAAGAAAAATGAGAAGAGATGATATGAGATACTTTTGTTTTTGAAGAAGTAACTTTCCACAGGCTTATTCTTGAACTGAGCTTGAGGGTTTTCTGGTTTCCTCCAGAGTATAAGGCCGACTGAAGAATTTGAGGGTCAAAACAAGTCCATCAAATCTAGAGTACGTTCCACCCTGCTGATATGGGATACCTTTGCTTTTGACAGAGTAATGGATGTATCGGCACGTGTGCTGTTACGCTTGTCTCCACATGCTTCCTTGTATCCTTCGCACTTGCCCTATCTGTTCCTCAAACAGATGCGGAATCTTCCCTGGAAACATAAGATGTTGAAGATGAGTACTCGACAGCAATGCCAGGTAAGTAATCAGGTAAGGGGTTCCAGGCAGTCAGTTCCTGACTGGAAGCTTGATTCCAAGTGCTGACTGATTGCTCTCTTTCTCCTTGTCTTGCAATAAAAACAAGGCCAAAGGAAAAGACAGGGAAAAAGCATGATATGGGATACTCTTGCTTTTAACCCTGATGATATGAGATATTCTTGCTCTAGTATAGCTTGTTTGCAGAGGTATTATCGGGGGGAAAGAAAGCTGAATATTTCGAAAGGCTTCGTTGGGAGTGCCCTCTCAGATATGATGAAGGGTTGAGCATTTTTTCAGGTCTGCCTGTCCGTTGGGGATGGAAGGTCGACATATATAGGAGTCTCCCTAACAACAAGTAGTAATGCTATTCCTTTACCCTGCTTGGTCATAGCACGGTAGTGGGAGCTGCCAGTTTCACATGTTTTAACTCTGTCAGAGCACTTTGAAAAAGTGGTCTGT